GCTCTTGTGGACACTATTACGAGGATCCTGCACATTAATTCCTTTCATATCCCAAATATTGTAATCTTCGTCATGATCATGATATGTACTACTGCATAAAATGATATGACTTGGATTCAGTATTGTATGGAAATGCTAAAACATCTCCTGCAACTAACCTTGCTATTATACAATGTGTTCATTTGTTTTTTGTAAAGTTTGAAAGATTAAAAATTTAAATATGTGTCTTCTTAAAATTACATGAATTTATATGGTATGGTATATAGAGGTAGATAGAAATGTCTACAAGCGCGTATGTGTGTATGTATATATGCATAGAATCGCCGGTTTGGTTAAGTACTGTAGTGTGTGCGTGTGTGTGTGTGTGTGTGTGTGTGTGTGTGTGTGTGTGTGTGTGTGTGTGTGTGTGTGTGTGTGTGTGTGTGACTTGTATATTGTGTACTTGTGCATCATGATATTTGCAACAGTAAGTACAGTTATATAAATTTATTATTTTATTTATAATTTATTCTTATTTATTGTGAGTGAGTTTATGCTTTACGTCACAGCGGCAGTATTTCAGCCATATCGTGACGATTATTAATTGTGAAATGTCCTTGGAGGGAGAGGTCTTAAAATTTGCTTAACCTGTTCACCGATCTCATATCGCTTTTCGGAAATAAATTATATTGTTTAAATCACAAACATAGCAAGAATCCAACCAGCGGCTATTCTATCATCAAAGTTTAAAAAACCTCTCAATGATAAATACAACTTTATTGGTGTCGGTTATTTTCAGGATGTTAAACAAATAAAACTCTGTCTATTCGTTCCCTTTGTTGCAATACGTTTTCGTTCAGTGTACCCGTGATATATTTTCACATTGTGATTTTAAAGATTCATACCCATATCGAAGATGATTATGAAGGCAATATAGATCCATATCCGTAAAAGGTACCTGAAAGAGAAATAAAATAATATAAATCTATTTTGTCTATACAATAACCTTTCATGGCCAAATTACTGTTTTATAGTCATATACTAAATCACATATTTGAAGCATTTTGAGAATTAGTGTAAACCTTCGCTATACAATCTGAAACAGTTAAAAATCAATAGTTATTTCACATAAAGCCGTGTCGGGTATTACCGAACAAAAAATTATTTCCGTGTATATTTTATCACATCGTCCATCATTACAGCTATTGGTATGCGCATCCTATTAAAACTTAACTTCTTCTTCCGGAGAGCGAGAGAGAGTGAGAGAGAATGTTTATTATAGTGTCACATGTTATATACACTTCATACTAAAACACGTACACGAACAGTAAAATATAACATCCGACCAAGTATGGTCTACGAGACACTTAGACATAAAAGCAAATTATAACGCCATGATCTGGGTAAGGTAAAATAAGACATATACTAACACAATGTTTAAAATTAAGGTTAGGTTATGAACACGCACGCTCACACGCACACACACACGCCAAATTACTTATAAAGTCACGCACACAATCATACACAAACACGTAGGTACCCACACACCCACCCCACACCACACATATCGCTAGATACGCAGAAAGTCTATAAAAAACGAAGAACGGGAAAAATATCCGAAGTCAGACACCAGGCATGACATTCATGCACATGTTTCGAAGATTGACAATGAAAATGTTGTGAAAATAAGTTTGGTCAACACTGGGATGTTCTTTTACAAACTTAACCTCCAGCATATTTTCTTATCTTGCATCGTCCAAGAGCATAAAGCATTCTTTCGATTGTTCAATGGGAAATATAGAGTCGGTTTAACAAGGTTTCGTCTTTTCGGCAAATTCCAAACAAAGCCGCTTCATCGCACTTCACAGGCTTCAGCGGCAATCTTTGTTAGTTAACTCATTTTTATTTCCCTTTATATATCGGAAAACGATTGCATAAATGCAGCCAACATGTGTGGCTGACTCAAAGTCCGTGCATTTCGGAGATTTTGATTTTCGCACTTTATGTAATAAAAACTCGTGTTAAGACCAAAATTCAGGCAAAATGCACACAAGATGTATAAAAGGCGAGCACATCGATGGGAACATGTCACAATTGAAAAAAGAAAGCTCCAAGCATGTCTTGATTAACTTGGTGACAGTGACTCAACTTCTCCAGAGGTAAAACGAGACAGGACACCCTAGGGACAGGCCCAAGAGTGACAGACCACGCGATACACCCCCCCCCCCCCCCCCCCCCCCCTCTCCCATCTCCTCTCTCTTTCTGACATTTCCCTTTATTTTTTGTGCTCCTCATAATAAAGAAGTGTTTCGTTTTTTTATAAATATTTTTATTTCAATTCAAATTAAAGAAGTTGGGGGGTGTGGGGGTGGGGGGCAATTTCTGTATATTCCATATAAAAATTATTGAAACGAAAGAACGGAATGAAAAGCTGAACAGAATCTGACTTAGAGGAAAGGCAATTGATTGGACAAAAGTATTTTACTTCAGTCATGAAACAATTAGCTAGGACATAAGTTATTGCTGAAATATGAAACACGTCTTTTTAATAAGAAACATGTTTCTCTTTAGGATATCTAGAGAACACTGATAGTTTGAAAAGTGAAAACTTTCCGCACCTGACCTACGTATAACTTATTCAAAGCTAAATGAAATAAAAGAATAATTAAATAAACTTTTATTGCTAGATACCACTGTGCAGGATGGATATTTGTGCGTATTTGCAAGAATGGGGACATTATTATTTTCCAACAATCAGTACATATGTTATATTGTTCAGTAAAACGGGGGCTTGATTATGTTTTTGGAGACAATCCCGTCCCTCCCCACCCCCTGAGAATCAAATGGTTGCTCCCTGATGACCCCAGATGTGTTTGAGACAGGTGTTTGATAGTAAAAGCAGGTCATTATTGAAATCGGAATTTCGGATACCTGAGCTTTTACACCCTTGGAACGTACTGTATTATATAAGTTTCCGACACAGTAACAGTCAAGTTAAGAAATTCCGGGGACTTTCGTTTCCGATTGAATACATAGAATATGGTGAAATCAACGATATCATCGTATATCAATGCTACTTCAGCCATAAACATGGCCAAAGGTGTTCCCGAGTGTTATTGGGAATAGCATGACATAGGTGTTCAGCCAAACCGACAAGGGCAAAATGTAAGGACAACGCAAACTATCGATCTGGAACAAGTGTGAGGGACCACAGAAACACGTCTTTATATGCGAATATGATTCACATTGAAAGGTTCGATGTATACAGTAGTTGTTTTCACTTTAATCAGAACAAAGTAGAAATGAGGTTGGGTGTCGCTGTTCTGTAATGCCCGACACTGTTCTTCATGAGCGGGGCGGTCGGGTAGCCTAGTGGTTAAAGCGTTCGCTTGTCACGCCGAAGACCCGGGTTCGATTCCCGACATGGGTAAAATGTGTGAAGCCCATTTCTGGTGTCCCCCGCCGTGATATTGCTGGAATATTGCTAAAAGTGGCGTAAAACCGTACTCACTCACTCACTTTTCATGAGAATTTCAAAAGTGACGTCTCCTTATTCGTGTATTTTGTTTCAGATTTTTCTCGCTTGAACTGGAATATATGTTGGAAAAACATCATTTGGTACTATAACAACTACAACTACAACAAAACACTTACATTTCATGCAACCGCTTCTTTCTCTGGACGAAATCGATTTGAGGTTAAACGGGAAATAATCTTTTGACCGTCTATTTGCTGACATGAAACCGAATGCGTAGTACATTTACGTGTATTTGCTTTTTGTTTATGCTTCCCGTTCATCGATTGTATAAATGTTTGTACGTAGAAGTTTACATGTTTGTACGTAGAATCCCTAAGCCAAAACACAACTCACAATTTTGATAATCGTAAAGATGATAACAATCATCAGTTTTGACTCAGTTACTTACGAGTGTGACATTTGACAAACTAATGACCATGTCAAACAATTTCCGATGTAATACTCTGTACAAGACCATTTCTAATTACCTACATGCTTTGTGTCTTTTGAATGTGGAACCAATACATTTTTCTTGCTTACAGCGTACAACTGTTAACATGGAATTACATCTACTGCTTGCAATAGCCATATGCATGTACCTACAATGTGAGTATGTTTGAACGTATTGTATCATTGGTACACATAATTTGACAATTCAGCTCTCCTGAAAATATGTATACTAAACTCATATACTAACGATTGATAGAGAAGGGGTTTGTATGAGATATTTTAGGTTATCTTAAGGATGTGTATGAAGATTGTTTGCATCGAATAATTGAAATAATTATAAGGATGTGCATTAACACTATCTAAATTATTCTAACACAAATACTTTTTTATTAACTTAATATTGCCCAAATGGGTGGTACGTGTAAATGGTACTGCGCTCTACCGCGCCAAAATTTGCTGTAGAGGCATACAAGGTACTCAGTCATTCGTCGTATTCAAGGTTTCGCTTACACTATGTAAAAAATAGTATGTTATTGCATTTAACATTTTAAGCACAAATGGCTAAAACGTTTATCTATAACAAATCATCTACACATATTCCCCTTTTTCCCTACATAGAAGGTTACATGTGTGGCGATTTGACTTTCAAGTCATATCAGCAAAATATTGACTTGTCGATGGAACACTCCTATTTCGAGTCGCGCAGTGATTACAAAATCACAGCAGCAGACATCCTTCAGAGCACAAGGCCGCCTCCGTGGCCTAAAACAAGGACTGGTCGCCGCGGAGTCAGTAAACTGTGTCTGAGTGGGGTATTCATGTTAAACTTCGGTATGGTATCTCAGTGAGCTAGCACTATAAATCGGCATCAGTCCGGACTAGTACAAGTACAAACTTTGTAATAGGACTAATTGGACTTTTTGGATATGGAGACGAGTTCAGGTGGAGATTCGTGGTCTTTTATGTCATATGTATTATGGTTATCAGAGTATGGTAGATTGGTGAAATCATTCTATTTCTAATCCAACTTTAATTTTACATTTTCTAGGTATCGTTATTGTTAATGGTATAGACTACCATTGCCTGTCGGTATCTGAGTCCGGGAGATGTAAGGAATGTTATTCTGGATGGTATGGTGATAACTGTCACAAGATGTGTCAACACTGTGACACGGGTGGATGTAGCAAAACAGGAGTTTGTCTTCAGTGTGAAGCTGGATATTACTCTACAAACTGTTCACGGACATGTCCACCTCAGTGCAGAGAGAGCTATTATGACCGTGTCTTCTGTGACCGTACAACAGGGAATTGTCTGGAAGGCTGTAAACCCACATGGTGGGGAGATAAATGTGAACACAAGTGTGGAAAACAGTGTACTGATTCACAGTGTTTCTTTTATGATGGTTCATGTGCTTTTGGTTGCAAGGACGGGTTTACCGGGACTCGTTGTCACAAAACCTGTTCAGTGGGATGTTTCCATGGCACCTGCAGTGAGCTGGCGGCTTTGTGCCTTCATGGATGTAAAACTGGCTTCTATGGGCTCTACTGTGATAGAAACTGTACTGATAAATGCCTCGATAGAGATTGCAGTACATCGATTGACGGAGATACTCCTAGCTGTACCCACGGCTGTGTACATGGCTGGAAGCCTCCTCTCTGTAATAGCCCTTGCCCTCCCAACTGTTTATCCTGCACTGAAGCTGTGGTGTGTACATCCTGCAGGGCAGGATTCACAGGAACTAGCTGTGAGAAGAAGAAATGCAACTGTCTGAGTTCCGGTTGTAGCGATGACAAAACTTGCAATGGATGTCTTGATGGGTGGAAGGGACAGACATGTGAGTTGACCTGCTCTCAAAACTGTCTCAAATGTCAACAGAATAGTGGGAACTGCATAACATGTCGCCAAGGTTTGACATATGATGGAAGAAGTCAATGTACCTCCGTGCTCAAAGGTAAATAACCCTATCAATGTATCCTATATGGTGGTACTGGTAACTCATTTGATTGATGCATGAAAGATTAAATTATCTTGTATGTAGCATGTAGCATATTCTAGCATGGATGTCTATTAGATATATGTGATTTTCTGCAACATAGATACATTTTACTTTTCCCAAACTACGCCATGAATACATCTGTGAATGAAACCTTTAAATGTAGTTGTAGAAGACATTTCTTGGTACAAACAATTGAGATCTGTTTCTTTTATGTGTTGCTCATATCCTTACAGCCACAACCACCAAAGCCACAACTGAAGGGCAAGAATCAAATCTTCCCGTTGTGATTATATCCATCATAGTTCCTCTCCTTGTAATTGTTGCAACTGTATTTTTTATCTGGTAAGTTGATTGTTAGTTTCTATAATTGACAAAACATATTTCCCTATTCTTTTATGGCATAACGATTAGTGTTTATAAATGAGTGAATATTAGATGCCTGGAAATTTTATTTTAAGCCGATGGGTTCGACAAGAAATTAATACTTTCTGGGCTTTTAGCCAGTCAGACTACAGCACAAGCTTGCATATATTTCTGTATCAATCTGCAGTGTGTCAAGGATACTCATAAATACTCTTAATTAATTATCCCAACAGTTAACACAACTTACAACGTATTGACAAATGTTGGTTGCTGTGTCACATTAGGTACTTCAGATTCCGAAGACGTATCCCGTCATTATCCGAGGAACACGTTCACGATGAAAATGCACCTTATGAAATGGTAATGTTAACCCATCTCATTTACATTTCGTTCTTACGTGTTGATTGGTTTGTTGTTTAACGCCGAACTCAGCAATATTCCAGAGTATTAATATTAATGAGTACATATACGTACTGTCTATAATTAAAAAAATCATCCGTTTTGATATTCGGACAAAAACTGTCGCATTCCTGGGTAGACATTACCGTGGTTCAAGGGGCTCCCAACAGTGTCGTCGCTTTAAGGCTGAAACAATGCCTGTGCGACGTTAAATTGGAACTCACTCGAGCTCACTCCTAAGTGTGTAAACACAAACGCAGAGATTGTCGAAGCAGGAACTTATAGTTTGAGATCACTTTTGTTTCTAGCGATGTCCACAACAGCAAAATCTATATGCTATATATGTTAATTAATTAGATTCCATTGCTCCTACGCATTAATTGCGTTTTTAATTAGGAGCATATTGAATTTTTGTCCACGTATAACAAAGCGGGTACACATTAAAATGCACTGAAAACTTGATATAACAATTTATCGTCAGGTTAAGTTTCACCAATATTATTGTCACGAGACAGATAAAATCAGAAAATTGCACCGATCAGTCAACTGAGCTGCTGTCAGTTACCATACCGACAGACACCCTTATTCTCATTTTTTGTAGACGCAGAATTCGACACTATCCAGCTTAATTGAAGAAGGTGATAGCAAAGTATACTTTTGTTATGTATATATTATGTTAATATTTTCAGCATAATCAATAAAAGGTCTGTATCTTGAAATAATCGAGGATTGTGGAGATGGCATGGTCCATCGACCAGCATTTAGAATGGTATCACCAGGGTTCCTTTACTCTTGAATCCCAGGCCAGTTCAAGTGGTACATATTGGAAAGGACAGTCAGTGTATCCTGTCCTTAGCGTTTTCTTGCATTCAATCTGATATTTTCAATTACTTTTCACTTCACAAATCATGAATCATGGATCATGAAGATGTGGCACGTAGTCCTGCGTACATGTCACAAGTCAGGTGAAATTAAGCAACGTTGGTTACGGTGAGTAACTGGATGGCTACATGTAGGTGATCGTGTCCGGCAGCTTGACTATTTTTTGTGCATATTGTATGACTGACTGACATCACTGATTTTCAGTGGTACATTCATGTAATTTCCACAGCCATTTGCCCTTTACGTCAAGTGGAATCTATTTTGGCAGAAAATCTAGACTGGTTATTTTCTTGTATTGACATTTTATGTTAACAACATGAACTATTCACTTACTCGATTAATATTTTTGATGCAAACAAAGGGTTTCTTTTATACCATCCGGAAAATGTTTTGAGGCATTAACTACGACCAGAGAACAACGAATATCCCAATCTGATATAAAAGTTGAATAAACATCAGAGCGCATAACAAAGCACGCGAGAGAGAAGGGGATGGGGTCATTAACATGACGACGCAAATCAGATACAGCCGACAGACCGTTGCCAGACTACGTCAGTGATACCACCAGAAAGGGGACACGAGAGACAGGGCACGAAGTGGCAGACAAACAAATAACCTGCACAGAGGGGAAGCGCTTTCTGCGCAACCGCTTCCTGGCGGTAACGTCATTGGTGTTGTCGGGACTGGGATGCCGCATCAGCAGACACAGTGTCAGGACGATTATGTGCTGCTCAAATGATGGCCTACAGCCCCCACCGCAGAATGGTGTTGACTCATGAACATGGGCGAAACAGTCGTCCATCGTCTGTGTACTGCTCAGCAATGAGAGAGGTGTACAACTGGCGTTAGGATGCATCCAAGAGATTCACACTTTGGTGGTGTCAGGTTATGGTGCGGGATATGTGGTGAAAGGAAGACCCGTCTTGTCATCATTCGTGGAAATTTGAACGCCCAACGTTAAAGGGATGTCATTCTACAGCCAGTTGTCTTTCCCTTTCTCAGAAGGCAGCTACAAGGGATACTGTTCTAACAGGAAACTGCCAAATACCACACTGCTCGAATAATCGGGGACTCAGACATCAGACATTCATCATGTTTTTGGAACAATTGAAAGTTATGACCTTAGATATGTTTGATTGCTTTTCTTTAAGTGACATGGAAATGTCTTTTGGCTTCTTGACTTCAGAAGACATTTCAAATGAAAAGTGTCCAGTAGGCTATTAGAACTTTTACACATTTGTGCATGTACTATGTTGCTTCCAACACCTTAAATTGTATAAACGTTTTGCGGCCAAATACTTTTTTTTATCAGAAACATGTAGTTTTTGTGGTTGGTAAGGAGGGTAATTCGTTAACGTTGACAACTAAAACGTTACTATATTAATGAAAACAAATATGTGCCAAAACGTTACTGATTTGCTAAACTGCCAATGGCGAATTGCATAATGTACATACTACACATGTACTATTATATGTTAACAGGTTAAAATTGGTATTCAAGTGATGTCAAATATATATATTATTACATTATTTGTAGATTGTCAACGTGAGGATAAATATTGTTTGGCAATGATGTTACATTCTATTATTAATGATCATGTTATTGTTTCAGGTTGACTTAAGACGTGGATTTATTTCAAATGCAGAAGAGCCTTTATCATACACTTTCGCACCTCTATAAAGGCAGATTTATATACGGACGCAGCCTGGTCACGAGTGTTAAATTACCGTAACAAACATGTCAATGGACCTGCGATCAAGTATGACTTGGAGAAGAAGACTATTGTTGAAATAGGAAAGCGAGAACTGTGCAGGTTGAAATGGAAAAGCGCGAACTGCAGATCGCGGCACTATCACCCCACTCTAGTTCTGGTCGTGTTGCACCTCAGGACGTTCGTCCAGTCCACAAAGTATTCATTAAGACGACAGGATGACATGACACACCACAGAACCACGACACGAGTCGTAACAGACGACCGAAGGAGGCCGCTGCCCCGACGAGACAGCCAACAGAGACCTCTTCTAATGCGGTTACTAATAGATAAGACCCTTTGGCTTCCTCAACTTCCAGTCGTGTGCTAGCATTTGCTATTGGGTCCAATTTGACAACATTTACTTCAAATTATTTTCATAAACGCCGAATACAAAGACTTAACGGAGGATATTTTCCCTCAAAACAATATGCGTCAAGGTAATATGACACTTTTTATTTCTTGTAAGGGGCGGTCGGGCGGTCGCCTTGTGGTTAAAGCGTTCGCTCTTCACGCCGAAGACCCTGGTTCGATTCCCGACATGGGTATAATGTGTAAAGCCCTTTTCTGGTGTCCACCGCCGTGATATTGCTTTGGTATTGCTAAAAGCGAGGTAAAACAATACTCGCTCACTCACTAAAATGATATTTTCCTCGCCATCACTTAAATATGGACTCGGGGGATCACCATTAGCTAAACTGTTTTCATTCGACCTATTCCCGTATACACTTTTGACATCTTTGATAAGTGTGCACAATTTGAAGCTGGTTGTATCTCGAACTATTTACTGTATATTACGAAATAGGCTTGGAGACACTATCAAGAAGACGCAAAGCTAAAAATCTATGACAACGTATGTTTAGCTTACTTGAATGACCTTTCACCACAAAGCGTATCCAGTTTTATTCCTCATAATCATAGAAATAGAAAGAATATTAGTATTCCATAAGCTCGAACTGCAGTCCGTTGTACCATACAAGGGCATGGGTGGCCCAGTCGTCTAAGGCGCCGCGATCCGCTGTGCAGAGTTGCGTCCCTTGGGTACGCCAGAAATCTATGATTGTGGGTTCGAATCCCGGTTCACCCCGATTATGTTTCTAGGTTTGTCAGCACCATACCCGTGCTCGTGGGTTTCACCGAAAAGGTAAACGTCTGAGACCTGCATCACTTCTGGCTTTCATCCCACAATTAAGCTGACACGCCATGATAAAACTGGAATACTTTTAAAAGCTCACTCACTTTGTACCATACACACTTAAATTATGGAATAACAATTCTCAGCGATATAGACTTTCCTGAACATTTTCATGTTTTAAATGTAGCGTTAAACCAAAAGTAAATATACTCTGGGGAGAGAAGAGCAAATATACGTGTTTGAGACATTCCGGTAGTTCTCTCAATGCCAATTTATCAAAAGCCAATTTGTCAGAAAACTTAACATGCTTGTGTGGAAATACATCACATATTTCTTGAATGTCCTAATTATTATGCTTTTACAACTTCAATGCATACTAATGTATTGTCTGTTGGCTTTGACTTTTCCTGTCATAGCTTTATGGTAATATATTATTTCATGTTCGATAATAATATCTTTATATATTTAAAGGTGTGCCAAATATATTTGTCAACAAAATGAAAAACAGTTTTATGTGAACAAATATTTATACTCATAGACATCTCGTGTTTTAATCTGTTGTTTTACTATTTACAACTTCTAGTTTTATTATTTTACTTGTATTAGTTATCAATGTTACTGTTTGAAGTGAGGTGTTGTACTTTGTTTATTTCAATGTTTAATATATACGCTATCGTCTGCTATCTGTGTTTATGTTTATGGTATCTTAACTTTGACATTTGCCACCTCCATTTGACCTTTTCATGTCAATACAATATGTTTAATATAAACTATGTGTAACATTTTTAGTTTTAGAAAAGAGAAGAGATTTTTGTGTTTACGGAAATAGCTGTGTCGCTTTTTCTTGAATCACTAGCAAATAAATATTCATGTTTCATGAGAAATACATTTAAATTGAAAATATGTATTTTCACCTTTTACAGTATGTATGTGTCCTGACATGTATTTTTCCCCATCCCAATAACAGCGAAATTCCCCGTCCATATTTTGCCCGATGCATGCAGGCAAGATAACCAATTTCTGGCCGCGGAGTACATATCGTGCTTTGGTTGGTTGGTTTGTTGTTTAACTCCATCAACGACCGTCTGTCATTATGTTGCATTGTCAATATGGACCAAACGTAAAAAGAACGTCACCAGTGTGTGTATGGGCTGGTCTCTAACGACAAAGAGAGACAAGGGGGTGTAACTCTTGTATGACAATAGGTCCGTCAAAATGTTATGTTCGCTGCAGTAAAATATCAAGTGTTATGTTTACTGCAATGGAAATATCATTTTTCTCAACTTCGGAAAAGTCTTTCACACTGAAGTATATAATAAAAGCGATCAAACGAAAAATTAGACGTTTCTATATACAAATTCATACCGTCGAACTCAAATGTACAAATATATACATGACCTTGTGTGAAATCTAAACAATATAAAAATAAATTTGCCGGAATCTTTGTACCCCAGGTTCATGCTTCAAACCACTACTTTGCCTATCCCAGAGGACGAGGTGATATAGATGGAATATTGCCTGCTCTGGCATAAACTACCTTCACTGATATAGTCATGTCCATGTGCCGGATCAGAAGTATTTGACAGGAGTACCTAGTTGAGTTTCAGGTTTTGATGGAAGTTGGTTGGTTTGATGTTTAAAGCCGCACTCAGCAATATTCCAGCTATATGATGGCGGTCTGTAAATAATCGAGTCTGGACCAGACAATCCAGTGATTGATATCATGAACATCGATCCACGCAATTGGGATCGATGACATGCTTCAACCAAGTCAGCGAGCCTGACTACCTGATCCCGTTAGTCGCCTCTTACGACGTTTTTGATGTAACAGCAGAATAATATCATTTATTCAATTACAGCCTTGAAATGACACGATACGTTTGAACAGAGGGAACGCTAGCGTCCCTTTCGAATAGGATAAAGGTTTTAGACTAATTAATTGAAAACAAAGAAAAATGTCGGATGTATTGAGAGCATGAAAAATGCAATGAAAATGGCTGCTTTCGAACGAAATATTTTGGAAATCGATATCTGTTTTCAAATACGATATGTATAAGGTTTACTATCCCGGAGCAACCTGAAATATATGTTGATAAAGAAACTAAACATGAAAATGTCAAAGGCTCAGTCAGTTTCAGTGATAAACCTATTATCACCCGGCGAATTTCATATCATGCCAGGTATCATTCCTCGACTCATATGAGACCTAACGGCCTCGATCTGATATGTGTGTCTCGCTATCATACCGGGCACGGTATGGATATCCTAATTCAACGTAAGTTTGTTGCACAACCCCATCTGTCGGATTCCGAAGGATACACTATTGAGTGAGTGTGTTGGGTTTAACGCCGCTTTTAACAGTATTCCAGTTATATCGCGGCGTGTCAGCTTAATGTGGGAGGAAGCCAGAAGTGATGCAGGTCTCAGACGTTTACCACTTCGATGAAACCCACGAGCACTGGTATGATGCTGACAAACCTAGAAACATAATCGGGGCGAACCGAGATTCGAACCCACAATCATAGGTTTCTGGCGTTCCAAGGGACGCAACTCTGCACAGCGACTCGCGGCGCCTTAGACGACTGGGCCACCCATGCCCCCGGATACACTATTGAAAGTCGTTGCGATAAACATAACGTCAAACTAAAGAGAACATAATGCTATACAAATGTTGAAAGAGGCCATTTCTTCAGTATGACCAACTCATATTCAATTATGTCTTTAGCAGGGCTTATAATAACAATATTGAATCACGCCTGAAAGATTCGAAAATATATCTAGATATGTCGTGAATACAGTAGTAATACCACTTACTAGAATTACCCTGACACAACGTAGTTTTTATTTGCACACAGACTTAAACGAGGTTGAGGGTTCGTTTGAAAAGCCTTCGATGTGACAATTCTCGATTGAGCATACAGGAAATTTAACACGTGTTTCTAGGTAATCATCGGTGCGACACCACAAACGATTTATATCTTTCTAAGTGACAAGTCAATGAGGTTCCCTTGGGAAAGCTAATCATCTATAGGTACATAAATATATCTAATGAAACACATTTTAATAAATTAAACAGATATTGTTCAACACCGTTAGTACTAAGAAATCGTTTCGGTTTCAGAAGCTTTGTTTTTTTATCTTTATTAGAATATTTACTCGTGTGAAAGTTGGCTAGATGTCAACCATGCAAATAGAAGAACATTCCGATTACCTCAGCACTGTCATACATACTTGTACATGTATTGCAAAACAAAATTGTTTAGGTTTTAGAAAATTAGGTGTCTGTCCTAAATATATTCATCGAAAGTAACTTTCAACCTAAACAAAACTTACTGATTATGACTGCTGTCACAACATACAAACCACAACAAAACATCCGTATCGAGATATAGGACGTGTAATGTTAACAATGCACTCCTGAAGATCGTAAAAAACGACCACACACGTGTGGACCCAAATGTATAAGTTTTCAGTGACACGGTAACTTTGCAAAGACGTTGTGAGGTGAAATGGGGTTTAACTTGGCGTTCAAGATAATTGCACTGATATAGCGACGTGCATGCACCTGTGTGTCGGGGCTGATTTTACTACTCTGATTTTATAGTGCTAGCCCACTGAGATGTCATGCCACGGATTAACATGAATTACCCACTCGGACACAATGTTCTGACTCCGAGCTGACAAGTCCTTGTCAGACTGACACTGACTGACTGACTGACTATCTGACTGACACGTTTGATACTGGCTGACTGACTCACACGTTTGATGAAAGCGAAACATCGAGGTGTAATACGAGATCACTGA